ACGCCTCAGAAACCAAAGCACGGTCGAGCCTCTCTTTGAGATCGTCCCTAACCCATATAAAGGGCTTCTCCTCACATCCAGCGTCAATCAACTCACAGTCCGCCACAGCCTGAGCAAAGTCCCACATCTCTCTAGGACGATCCAAAAGGCCACCCACACGCTCATCGGGATGCAGGAAGATGTTGAAATCGCCACTAACCATCCATGGTAATCCCTCCATGCTCTCAGCAATTTCACGCAGGGTGTCCCAGAGATCATATCTCCCGACCCTATTATACTTGGCATAAACCAAGGTATGGAATATGAGCTCGGGGAGGTGGGTCGCAGAAAGCTCGACATGAAGCACCTGGTCGGTATCCCGGAGGACCCGACAGGTGTAATCACGCGAGTGGAAGAACCAGATCTTATGTGAAGTGTTACCCACGCCTGAGTGGAAGCCAAGACGACGTGAGTAATAGTCAAAATCAGGGGTGCGAATCATCGACTCTAAAAAGCCAACGAAGTCCAATTTATGATCACGTATGAGAGAGTGGAGATGAGGGAGAGTGACCCTATTAGCCAGGCCCCAGCCATTCCAGATAATAGATGTAATAGACATATCAACAGGCGTGAGAGCCACCAGACGTGGTCCGACTGTGGCGATGTTGGGTCGAGCCACCTGAAGGAAGGGGGAGGTGGCGAAAGTATCGAAGGGAATGAGAGATTGTCCGTCGTGTCACGCGCGATGTGGGTCTGGTCTTTGAGGGGGGACGCCCCTCGGTAAGTGCTCGTAGCCTGCGAGTCATCAGGCTGAGCAATCGGACCCGAAGTAGCACTAGGGACCTGCCCCATCTCCAGGGTCGTCTCCTGTCTGTCAAAGTGGACGAATGCACTAGAGGCGAAACTCTCGCACGAGACATCATGTTGAGCACGGTTAAGACCACATGTCTGCTCTGGGATGGAAGGGAGAGAGGCTCCATTAGGTGGAGCACTCGGGTGCTCATCGAGAGAGTGAGGCTGGAGAATAGCTATATACTCAGCCGAGCTCCCAAGCTCAGCAGAAAGAAGATGTGTCGGATCTTCTCCTTTTGGGGGAGCGGTGGCGGGAGCTGTCCCCATCTCCAGGGAGCTGTCCTGGCTACGTAAATGGACAGACAAAAGAACAGTACCCCGATTGTTGTCATCAGTTAAGTGAATGGACGTACCACTGGTCGAGGCGTCCGGCTGCTCCATATCCTCAACAAGAAGGTCATCATCATCTAAAAAAGGAAGATCTAAGGACCTATGGGGATCACTGGTAGAGGTCTCAGGCTCATCCTCTGCCTCAGGGGAGAGAACAACAAAGAATGAGTGATTGGCCTTAAAGGCCGACTGAATGGTGTGTTTGGGAATGAAGCCCGAGGTCTTGGCCTTGGGCCCAACAGAAGCCAACTGCTTAGGCTGGTTAGGATGAACATCCTTTCC